CTGATATGCGATCGACCCCGGGAGCCTTGTTGGATTTCATGGTTCGGATAGCAGCTTCGATCTCCGGTAGGGATGGCGCCTCAGAATTGACGCGAGTGATGCGTCGCACTCTTGGCGGTTCATGCCGAGATGTTGATGGCTGGTTGACCGACGAAACTTGTAGAAGCTGTTCGAAGTGTTCAAACCAGCGTTTCAGCTGATCAGTGGGGTCGGTGAGCAACTGACCAGTCGCGTCCTTCACTGGCATCCTAGGATTCATCCTTGCTCCACTCAGGCGTCGTGAGATATCGTAGAGGAGACGGATATCGCCTGTTGCTGCGGCTTTCTCACCTTCATCGGCTAGGGAGTCCACCCACGCTCGCTTATCCCGCCTACACGAGCGCTTCACTTCCTTCTCGAGAGCCGAATACAGTTGGCGGGCCTGGTTCTTCGCTCCTCTGGTTCTCGCCCGCTCTATCGCGGCTTTTGCATTTCTCCGCTCCTCTATCTTCCTCCAGGTGTCATCCGTGATCCACTCCTTTCTCTGAGCGCGCAGCTCGCCCAGGTTGTTTTCACTCGTTTCAGTAAAGGCATCCTTGATCGCCGTCCATTGCTCTTCTACGCTGCCACCATCAGGAATATCCGCAGCTCTGGTCTCCAGTTCCTCGACGAATGACCTTTTTACTGCTGGATCTTCCAATCGGCGTGTGTTGAATCGCCGTCCGAGCCGCTCCTCCCGCCGCTGGACCCGCGCGATACGAAGGCGGATCTCTCCAACGAGGAGATGGTGGTCAGACGCGATGTCGGCACTGCGTTTGTTCCGAACGTCAAGAAGGCTCCTTCTCCATTTTCGGCTGATGCAGATGTGGTCGATTTGATTTTCGGTATGTCCATCACGGGAAACCCACGTGACTTTGTGCACTGGTCGATGGGGGAAGAGCGAACCCCCGATCACCATGTCGTTATTGCCACAAAACTCTGCCAACAGCTCACCGTTTTCGCTCGTTTCGCCAAGACCATGGCGCCCCATGACACGCTCATAATCCGTGTTGTCGGAGCCGATCTTCGCATTGAAGTCGCCGATGTAGATCTTGATGTCACGTCTCGGAATTTTATCCACGACTGCATTCAGTTGACTGTAAAAGTTCTCTTTGTCCTGTAACTCGGCAGCATCGGTTGGCGCATAACATTGGATTATGGTTAGGTTACGAACCCGCGTTCTGAATCTGGCAACGATTATCCTCTCATTGATAGGTTCCCACTTGATGAGCGCCGCATTTGCTTGGGCGCTAAGCAGGAAACCAACTCCACGGTGGCGGGGAGCGTTTTCACCTCGAATACCAGAATAGAGTAGTACCTGTCCCGACGGCAGCTTGTGTTCTCCAAAGTTTGGCCAACGGACTTCGCTTAGTCCCAGGATTTCGAGCTTCATGCGTCGAGCCTCGCTGGCGAGTTGTGCCAGCTTCCCCTGTTGGGCTAGCGTTAGTACATTCCATGTTCCAATTCTTGTCCGTTGTTTTGCGCTAAAAGTCGTTGCCGTAATATCAGTCCGTGATCTTTCTCTATTGGTTTCTGTAACAGTTGTAAAGTTTCGGGGACAGTAGGTAGTTAGCCTAAGGTCTCCTATCCGCCGTGATGGGGCTGCCATCTTGGGTATAGCTTTCGGGGATAAGCATTTCTTGTTTCAGCCGCTGGATGCCAGGCAGACGCTGTTTGAGCCGCACCTCCATGGTGGACAGACGCTCAGTTATTGTGTAGATGGGGCTGCCATCTTAGATTTAGCTGACACAATACAGCATTTCTTATTCAGCCGCTGGATGCCAGTCAGACGCTGTTTGAGCCGCACCTCCATGGTGAACAGACGCTCAGGCCGTGTAGGCCGAACCCGCTAGGGGCCCCCTTCCCTGTCAGCATATGACCAAAGCTCCCACCGGGGTTGGTTACCCGATCTTCGCTAAGGTTGCTCATATCCCAGGAGACACCACGAGGAGGTAGGGATAGGAGTTACTGGGTAAGAGGCTAATGGACCACTAATGGGGTCTATTTTATCCTTCAAGTACTCGCGGTACTGGTGGTACGCATTACCCAGTCGTTTGCCCCGCTGGCCAATGGCCAGCGGTGATGAAAAGAATATGATACTTTTACATCATCCCCAAACTTCCCTAAAGTTCAGTGAATTTCCCTGAAGTCCTGCCAATTTCCTAAAAGTTCTGTGAACTTTTCAAAAGTACTCCATATTAGTCTAGAGATCTACGAACATCCATGAAGTTCTGTTAATTTCTCTCACGATCTTTGAACTTGCCTGCATTTCAGAAAATGTTTCTGAAAATCTATGCACTTTCCTGAATCTATGCACTTTGCTGAAGTTCTGTGTACCTTCCTGAAATTCTGAAAACTTCTCTGAAGATCTACGAGCTTTCCTGAAGCACTGCAAATTTTTCTGAATGTCCACAAACTTCCATGATGTACTTAAAATTTATATAAAAAACTACGAACTTCTCTTAAGCTCTGCAAATTTCTCTGAAGATCTACAAAGTTCAACAAATTTATCTGAAGATCTACAAACTTCATTGAAGTTCTATTAAACAAACAAACACAGACATAGCCATAGAAACACAGCCATAGCCACAGCCATAACCACAGCCATAACCATAGCCAAGCTTGCAAATGCTCATTACAGCCAAAATGCTAATTTTTGGATTTATGAAGCTATGAAATTTGTTAATGGTAATTCTTAGTGACAAGATGCAAGAAGAGAAGGTAAAGTATTTGTATGATACATAAAACGTGTTAATTTAGCCTTCAGAGGTTCACAATAGCGATTAGCTGTAACGATGAGCAACGTGATGAGCGAGCAATCAGAGATCATAAAATCGCTAGTTGTGACCTTCTGAAAGCAAAATTGATAAATTGTGTATGTCATACACAAACTTTACCACCCATTCTTGTTTCTTACAAATAAAAATTATCATAGTATCTCATAGTTTCATAATTCCAAAAATTAACATTTTAGCTATAATGAGCAATTGCAAGTCTGGCCATAGCCATAGCCATAGTCATAACTATAGCCATAACTATAGCCTTTGTCTTTGTTTTTGTCTTGTTTTTCGTCTTGTTTTTTTGTCTTGTTTTTTGTATTGTTTTTGTCTTTGTCTATGGCTTTGGCTCTGGCTATGACTAGTCTTAAAATTCTTACTGAGCAGAAGACCGTCGGTTCAATCCTAAGATCCTTCGTATATGATCGTTAGGACATTAATTCATCTTATAGTTTACCATTACGAATTATGCTGCAAACCCAACCCTCTTACCTAAAATGTTAAAGTAAAGTTTAGTTAATTAGTTAAAGTTATGATAAAGCAAAAAAATAAAATAAAATTTAGTTAATATAAAGTTTAAGTTAAGATAATTATAAGTGAAGCTTAAGATAAAGTTTATCTACAGCTAAGTTAAATATGTGTTAAAGCTATTTTATAGTTATGTTGAGTAAAGTTAAAGTAAAATGGAAGTTAAGTTAATGTTTAGATGAAGCTGACCTATAGTCAATAAAAGTTAATTAGTTAAAGTTAAGTTAAAGTTATGTAAAAGTCATGTTAATGTTAAGTTAAAGTTAAGTTGAAGTTAAGTTCAAGTTATTTCCAGGCAATTTCAGGGAAACTTCAGTTCTTGTCAGTTTTTGAAGCTTGAAAGTTCTTGTTAAGATAAAATTAAACCAAAGTTAAATTAAATTAAGAAATAAAAGTTAATGTGCAGTTAAAAAGTTAAGTAATAGTTGAGTTAATTAAATTAGTAAAATATATGTCAAAGTTTTATGAGAGATAAAAACCTGTTAAGCTAAGTGTCGCGGACAACGCGATGGTCCGAGATACCACTGCACAAGCGACAAAGAACAAACAGAAATCCAAATCTATTGTACCCACACGCCGCACATAATTGTATTTCGCTCTACACTCCACACAGCAAAAAAAAACAAGCATCTACATCACCTAGGAATATCCTCCCGGCTCGATCACTCTCGATCGAGTCGGTAGGTATAAAAGTACCGGCACCAAATTTCACCAAATCAGTACAAATCAAACCATTATAAGAATCACACCCGTTTAATATACAATCAATCTAACACCGCGAGTTCATCTCTTTTTCTCCTGACCGAAACCAACCACACAAGCCAATCAATCAGTCTTTTTCAAGACTAAAAGAGTTTTAACTTTCTGTGGCTAAACCCCTGAACCAGTGACCATTTCCGGATAGTTGGCTCAGCCGTTGCCAGGCGTTGGAGCTCATCGAAGAGGATCCCAGTGCGTGGACATCTTTTTGGTCCTTCGAACCGGATAATTGTTCCGTTCGAAGTGGAATCAACTTCACACGTGCCGTCGCTTTGTTGCGACCTCACCGCTGCTGCTGCAGCATCATCACCGTTGTTCATTGTGAGCAATACAATCGATCGCCGATCGGACGGTGCACCATTTCTGTGGTTTGGTCTGGTGGAAAAGATTTGGACTCTCGTCGCTTTGTCCGTGTACGCGATTGCCGAAAGTAGTATATCGCGTGTGTAAAGAACAATTATCGGAGATCGGAGACTGTGAAAACTCCGTAAAACCTAGAAAAGTGGACAATAAAAGAAAGCGCATTTGAACGCGCAAGTGCGTTAGTGGTTGGATTCGTTTCGTGGGTTTGATCGACAAAACCCACACCTCAACTGCTGTCGTTTCCAGGTTTGGCCGTCAAAACCTGTGCCGTCACGTTTCCTGGTTTGGGCGACAGAACCTGTGCCATCACGTTTCCAGGTTTGGGCGTCAGAACCTGTGCCATCCCCGTTTCCAGGTTTGGGCGTCAGAACCTGCGCCATCGATTGTGAGTTGGGTGCTTGGGTTGGCGTGTCGACTGGTGAGTACGCTACTAGAGTAAGCAAGTTTTTCGGATTTTGATTGGAGGAGTGGACTGGCATCGATTTTTAAGAATTTGGCTTGGGTTGTGGTGGTAATTGGTGGTCTGTCTTTCACGTGACGATCTCAGCAGGCGATATGACGTCGCTTCGGGAACGGTCAAAGGCAGTGAGCGTCATTACGGACGCAATACAGACCATCGAGAACTTCGTCAATAATTACGATGCCGAGGTCGATCGAGACAAGATCGACTCTAGATTGAGTAGGCTAGATGTATTATATGATCGATTTACTAGCGCTTCAATTGAGTTGGAATTGTTAATGGATGAAAAAGCCGAGACAAAGGGTACGTTTATCAAAAGCCGCAATGAAATGGAGGACAAGTACTACAAGTTGCATGACTTCCTCACCGCAAATAAAGTGAACCGCCATATTGCTGCTAATGCCTTTCAGGCTTCTACATCTGTAGTGCGTTTGCCAAAAATTGATTTGCCAACTTTTGATGGCGAGATAGACAATTGGATCCCATTTTATGATGCTTATCGCAGCTTAATCCATAACAATAAGGGTTTGGCTGCTGTAGATAAATTCCATTACTTGATGGCAGCACTCAAGGAACCCGTCAAGCAACTCCTTGATACGACTAGTATTACGGGAGATAATTACAGGATCGCTTGGGATTTACTGGTCAGTCGCTTCGATAACAAGCGCCTGCTAATTAAAAACCATATTAACTCTCTTTTCGCCATTGAGCCTGTGAAAAAGGAATCTTCTGCTACCATATTGTGCCTGGTTGACCAATTCGAACGCCATGTGAAAATCCTAACGACGTTGGGGGAGCAGACAGAGCAATGGAGCTCCCTGCTCGTGCACATGGTGTGCAGTCGCTTGAATCAAAGCACTTTGAGGGAATGGGAACGGTCAACAGGTAACGATAAAGAGAAGGTTCCTACGTATGACGAGCTGATTACCTTTTTGAAAGATCAAGCTCGGATCTTGATGTCCTTGAACAGTGGAACCCTGGTACCCTCCCCTCTAAAAGATAAACCCCGTTTCTCTGTTGCTCACACTGCATCCGTTGCAAAATCATACCCACCAAAAGCTTTCAGCTGCATCGTGTGCAATCAACCGCATCGGATTTACGATTGCGAGGTGTTCAAACGGATGTCAATCGAACAGAAGCAAGACACCGTCCGCAAGAAGAAGCTATGCTGGAATTGCTTATCATCGAGTCATCTCAGCCGTGACTGCTCCTCCAAACCCTGTCGGAAGTGCAACGAAAAACACCACACACTTTTGCATTCTTCCTCCCCCAACGATCGTTACACCCAACCCCAAGTCAAACCACCTACTGGAAATCTACAATCCACCACCTACACCGGAAGTGGAGCCGTGGTCCCGGCATCACTGTCCACTCCAATTCCACCATCACCACTCACCTCGTCCGCCACCCACCAACCTCTCACCAACGCATTAGCTGCAGCAAGCTCTTGCACCACCACCTACTCGACTGTTCTGTTATCCACCGCCGTGGTAAAGGTCCACGGCCCGTCGGGGAGATCTACATTTGTTCGAACCCTGTTGGACTCCTGCTCTGAGTCAAACTTCATCACCGAAAGAATCGTTCAACTTTTGGGATTGAACCGACGAAAGCAAGCTGCAATTATCGCTGGAATGGGTGGCTCTACTGTCAGCAGTACTTACTGCACCGTAGCAGATTTCAGTTCTGTTAATTCCACCTACTCTAACACACTGACGTTCAGCATCCTCTCCAAGATCACCAACGATCTGCCCTGTCGGGCAATCGATATTTCGCAATGGAACCTCCCTCCTGAGGTAGTCTTGGCAGACCCAGATTTTGCTTCGCCGCAAAGGATCGATATGGTTATCGGTGCTCAGCTGTTCTTCAGCCTTCTGCAGGAAGGACAGATCCCAGTAAATGCTGGTCCTTTTGAACACCAGCCTATTCTCCAACGTACCGTGCTCGGATGGGTAGTAAGTGGCCTTGTTGCCATCGATACCGCTACCCAAGGACCTGAGCGAGTCGCTCTGTTGTGTACCACCGATGACTTGGACCAACAACTGACTCGATTCTGGGAAGTCGAGAGTTACCCTCAAAGCCGTGGACTGTCTAAGGAAGAATTAGCTTGCGAGATGTACTTTTCCGAAACCACCACCCGCGACGAATCAGGCCGATTCGTTGTACGCCTGCCGAAGAAAGAGCACGTCTTGAGTCAACTTGGTGACTCCGAGATCGAAGCCCTTCGCAGATTTCAATGGATGCAACGTCGACTCAGCAAGAACCCCGATTTGAAGGCCCAGTATGTAGACTTCATGGCAGAGTACATAGAACTTGGCCATATGGTTCCCGTAGACCCATTACAAGACAAAACCCATACCCGCTCGTTCTATCTTCCCCACCACGCCGTGCTCAAGCCGAGCAGCACTACCACTAAGTGCAGAGTCGTTTTCGATGGGTCCAGCAAGTCTTCTACGGGAATCTCTCTCAATGATTGCCTTATGGTGGGACCGACTGTTCAGGATGCATTATATGCTATCGTCATCAGGTTCTGCATGTATGAAGTGGCTTTAGTTGCAGATGTAACCAAGATGTATCGCCAGATGTGGGTACATCCTGACGATAGGCGTCTTCAGCTCGTGTACTGGCAAAGCAGGACTGATTCACACGTCCATCCCTACGAGCTGACCACGGTAACATACGGCACCGCATGTGCGCCGTATCTAGCTACTCGGTGTCTACAGCAATTGTCCTACGATCACTCGGCGAGCGAAACCGATGCTGCAGCACGAATCGGTAAGGATTTCTACGTGGACGATTTCCTCAGCGGTGCTGACACTGTGGAAGAAGCAACTCAGCTGCGTTCTGGAGTGCAGAGCATCCTCGCGTCCGCAGGGTTCGAACTTCGAAAGTGGTCGTCGAATTCATCCGAAGTGTTGTCACACATCCCGGACAACCTGAAGAATGATAGGCCAATTGTCGCAGTTGATGACATTCAAGGCTCCGTCAGCACACTCGGTCTGCTGTGGCACCCTGAATCGGATACCTTCCGGTTCAAAGTTCCTGAGCGATTCTCTGATAATCCGATCACGAAACGAATCGTGGTCTCCGATATGTCCAAACTCTTCGACCCATTGGGTATCTTGGGTCCGGTGATCATCACAGCCAAAGTGTTTGTCCAACAACTTTGGAAGTTGAAACTAAGCTGGGACGAAGAGCTTCCCAATGCACTCTGTACCGTGTGGGAAGACTACAGACTTGGTCTGGCTGCTCTAGGAACATTTTCCATCTCTCGTTTGGTCAAAGCTCCAGGCGCCGGAGACAACGTGCAACTTCATGGGTTTTGCGATGCATCCCAAAATGCTTACGGAGCTTGTATCTACTTGAGAAGTGTCGGAAGAAGTGGTGTCGTCACAACCCGTCTCCTAACCGCCAAATCCCGAGTATCTCCTATCCAAACCTTATCAATTCCCCGGCTAGAGCTCTGCTCTGCTGTCCTCCTCAGCCAACTGTACCAAACTGTTATGTTAAGCCTCAACATAAATGCTAATGCTTATTTTTGGTCTGACTCTTCAATCACTCTCCACTGGCTGTACAACCCACCGTCCAACTACAACACTTTCGTGGCAAATCGTGTCGCGGAGGTGCAGCGACTCACTGAAGGAGGCACTTGGAATCACGTCGCCGGTCTGGAGAACCCGGCCGATCTCATCTCGAGGGGTGTCGATCTCTGCGAGCTCGTCAACAACGCACTATGGTGGAAGGGTCCACCGTGGTTAACGTCCGATCCAGCGGAGTGGCCAAGTATGTTTCCAGTCCAAGACGCCTGTGAATTTCCTCCTGAAGTTCTCGAGGTGAAGCTTCGTACGCTTGCAGCCGTCACTCGATCCACCGAAGCTCCCGACCGCACACTGTTCACCCGCTACTCGACACTAACAAGACTCACCCGCATCGCTGCATATTGCCGCAGATTTGTGCGGTACTGTCGGGCCAAGCTCGCTGGATTCCACCTACAAGCTATTCCGTACCTTACCTCAGCAGAACTCCTTCAAGCACAAGAAGGCCTTGTGAAAGTTGTGCAAAATGAGTGCTTCAGCCAAGAAATCGCTATGCACCTCTATGTACACCTCGAATTGGTTGGCGATCTCAGCTCCGAAGCCTTTATCGCAACGTTGAAACGGTTCGTTGCACGGCGAGGCAAGCCAATTGCCCTGTTCTGTGACAATGCCACCAACTTCAAGGGCGCAGACAGGGAACTCCGAGACCTCTGTAAGCAACTCAACGATCAACAACTACGACTGAAGATAGCATCGTTCTGCGCTGAATCATCCATCCAGTTCAACTTCATCCCTGCGAACGCTCCGACATTCGGCGGCCTTTGGGAGGCCGCAGTCAAGGCTTTCAAGCATCATTTTCGGCGAGTCGTCGGCTTGGAATCCCTGTCAAGCGATGTAATGTGTACCATCCTCTGTCAGATAGAGAGCTGTCTCAACTCTCGGCCACTGACGGCCCTATCTGAAGACCCAAGTGACACGGAAGCCCTCACACCGGGACACTTTCTGGTCGGATCAGCTCTCCAATCAATCCCGGAGCCCGACCTTGCCCAAGTTCCCAACAACCGGCTTTCGCTTTGGCAGGAGGTGCAGCGCAGAACCCAAACCTTTTGGAAACTCTGGTCGACGGACTACCTTCATCAACTACAGCAGCGTTCGAAGCACTACTACCGGCAGCCGAATGTTCTGGTCGGCAAGCTGGTACTCCTGAAGGACGACAACCTACCACCGCTCAGGTGGAGCATGGGTCGAATCGAAACCGTCCATCCCGGCGCTGATGGCCTCGTCCGTGTCGTGACCGTCAGACTGGCATCCGGAGCAGTCTTTGACCGACCGATCGTGAAGATCTGCCTGCTTCCCATCGACGATGACGCAAGATCCACCTCCACTTCCGGCGAAGTGCCTGGTGACCCTGACGACAATGCAGCGCCCGCTGCCAACCCAGATAATTGATTGTGAAGTATTAGTTAAGAAGTGAATTTATTGTTAAATTTTATGAAACACATTTTTCATGGTGGCCGGTATGTCGCGGACAACGCGATGGTCCGAGATACCACTGCACAAGCGACAAAGAACAAACAGAAATCCAAATCTATTGTACCCACACGCCGCACATAATTGTATTTCGCTCTACACTCCACACAGCAAAAAAAAACAAGCATCTACATCACCTAGGAATATCCTCCCGGCTCGATCACTCTCGATCGAGTCGGTAGGTATAAAAGTACCGGCACCAAATTTCACCAAATCAGTACAAATCAAACCATTATAAGAATCACACCCGTTTAATATACAATCAATCTAACACCGCGAGTTCATCTCTTTTTCTCCTGACCGAAACCAACCACACAAGCCAATCAATCAGTCTTTTTCAAGACTAAAAGAGTTTTAACTTTCTGTGGCTAAACCCCTGAACCAGTGACCATTTCCGGATAGTTCGCTCAGCCGTTGCCAGGCGTTGGAGCTCATCGAAGAGGATCCCAGTGCGTGGACACTAAGATTAAGCCAAAGTTTAGTTAAAGTTTATGGAAGGTTTCGTTAAAACTCAGTTAAGTTATAATTAAAGCCAATAATATGTTAAAATTAAGTTAAAATTATTAGAAAATTATGTTTAAACTCAGTACAATATAAGTTGAAGTTATGTTAAACTAAAAGTTATGTTTAGTTAATAACATAAAGTTTTGTTAAAATTATATTAAACGTATGTTAAAGTAAAGTTGAAGCATTATTGTTTAGCTTTCAGTTAACATTTAGTTACAGATAAGTTAAGTAATGTTTGGTTAAAATTATAGCGAAGTTAATTTGTTAAAGTTATGTTAAAGAAAATATCAAGTTAAGTTAACGTTGAGTCAAAGTTTAGTAAAATTTTATTGAAGGTTTAGTTAAAGTTTAGTTAAAGGTAAGGTAATCATGTTTTCAAATTTTGTTAAAGCCAAGAAAAAGTCAAGATACTGTTAAAATAAGCTAGTTAGTGGAAGCTGTGTTAAAGTTTTTTAAAAGTTTCGTAAAGTTTATAAGATAAAGTTAAGTTTAACTAAAGTCAAAGTTTAGAAAAAGGTTTATTCAAGTTGAATTAAAATTAAGACACTGTTAAGTTAAAGTTTAGCAAAGCTTTAGTTAAAGTTAAGTTAATTTTCAGCTAAAGTTAGGTTAAACATTTGCTTAAGTAATGATAAAGCTTAAACTAAAAAAAGTGTTAAGTTTAAGTTTTATTAATGTTATTTCCATGGAAATTCAGGAAAACTCCAGTTCGTGGACTTCTTGGAAGTTGTTGAAAGCTTTTGGAATTTATTGACTGTTCTTGGAATATTTTGGAAGTTCTTGGAAGTTTTTGGTACTGCTTGATACTTCTGCAAGTAACAACAATCACTTCACTTGGAGGTTTTTTGCTATGTTAAAATGAATTCAAAGTTAATTTAAATTAACTTTAAAGTTAAGTTTATGTTTAGATTAGTTAAAGTGAAGTTTCTTTTATTACAAAATTTAGCTTACAAGTTCAAGTTTAGTTAAAATAAAGTTGAACTTTTGCTTAAGATAAAATCAAGTTGAGTTTAATTTAAGTCAATGATAAGTTGAAGTTAAGTTTAGGCTATAGTGAAATTATGCTAAATATTTGTTAAAGATATTTTAAAGTTACGTTAAAGATAACTTAATGATAATTTTATGTTGAGTTGAAGAAAAAGTTAATTTAAGGTTATTACTTCCGCTTGAAAAAATTATGAACATCTTGAAGTTTCTCTGAACATATCGAAAGTTCTTTGTATTACTCGGAAATTCTATGAACAACTTGGAATATCTACGACCACCTCGAAAGTTTTTTTTTAACATTCTCGAATTTCTACGATCTGTTAGGAAGTTCTATGGAAATCTTGGAATCTCCGAGCCTACCTCGGAAATTCTAAGAAGAACACTGTTCGGAGGACCGCTCGGAAATTCAATGAACATTCAAGTTCTAAAAATTTATGTGTAGACTTACAAAAAAAAAAAAAAAAAAAAAAACTATTTTGATCGTTACGATGGTGATGATGGATTTTTGATATTTAGTTTTATAGTAGTAGTCAAAAAAAAAAAAGAAAGTAGTCTACAAAAGTTTGAGCCTCGCGCGCGTTATACAGATATAGAGGACTAATTTTAACATTTGATAAAATAACTATATACTGTAGTGGGAATTTATATCTGTAGCTGTAACCAGTTCGATTTTGTTTGCAAACCTGGTTAAAATGTCATAATTAATTATCTTAATTAATCAATCGTCCAGCTCAAACCTTTGTAGGGGTAAGAGGTGGGACCATCATCATCATCATCAAATTTCCTGATCTTCTGTTGCAATTTTCTGAAGATCTACAAACTTCCCTAAAGTTCAGTGAATTTCCCTGAAGTCCTGCCAATTTCCTAAAAGTTCTGTGAACTTTTCAAAAGTACTCCATATTAGTCTAGAGATCTACGAACATCCATGAAGTTCTGTTAATTTCTCTCACGATCTTTGAACTTGCCTGCATTTCAGAAAATGTTTCTGAAAATCTATGCACTTTCCTGAATCTATGCACTTTGCTGAAGTTCTGTGTACCTTCCTGAAATTCTGAAAACTTCTCTGAAGATCTACGAGCTTTCCTGAAGCACTGCAAATTTTTCTGAATGTCCACAAACTTCCATGATGTACTTAAAATTTATATCAAAAACTACGAACTTCTCTTAAGCTCTGCAAATTTCTCTGAAGATCTACAAAGTTCAACAAATTTAACTGAAGATCTACAAACTTCACTGAAGTTCCATTAAACAAACAAACACAGACATAGCCATAGAATAAGCCATAGCCACAGCCATAGCCACAGCCATAGCCACAGCCATAACTATAGCCATAACCATAGCCAAGCTTGCAAATGCTCATTACAGCCAAAATGCTAATTTTTGGATTTATGAAGCTATGAAATATTTTAATAGTAATTCTTAGTGATAAGATGCAAGAAGAGAAGGTAAAGTATTTGTATGATACATAAAACTTGTTAATTAAGCTTTCAGAGGGTCATAATAGCGATTAGCTGTAACGATGAGCAACGCGATGAGCGAACAATCAGAGATCATAAAATCGCTAGTTGTGACCTTCTGAAAGCAAAATTGATAAATTGTGTATGTCATACACAAACTTTACCACCCATTCTTGTTTCTTACAAATAAAAATTATCATAGCATCTCATAGTTTCATAATTCCAAAAATTAACATTTTAGCTGTAATGAGCAATTGCAAGTCTGGCCATAACCATAGCCATAGCCATAACTATAGCCATAACTATAGCCATAACTATAGCCATAACTATAACCATAACTATAGCCATATTTATAGCCATAACTATAGCCATAACTATAGCCATAACTATAGCCTTTGTCTTTGTCTGTGCCTTTGTCTTTGTCTTTGTCTTTGTCTTTGTCTTTGTCTTTGTCTTTGTCTTTGTCTTTGTATTTGTCTTTGTATTTGTCTTTGTCTTTGTCTTTGTCTTTGGCTTTGTCTTTGTCTTTGTCATTAACTTTGTCTTTGGCTTTGGATATACACCAGTAACGCTGGTAGATTACCTTTACGTGGTGCGTTACTGTTATAAGATATATTTCCTAAACCCAAGTTCTGACATCTTCAAACTAGGGTAGCAGGATTTTTCAGTAATCAAAGGAACACATTTTAGTCCTTGTTACTTTTTATACCTTTTTAATAGTGAACTCGGAGAAGTAGTCACAACACATGTTGTAAAGTTAATTTAAATAAAATTTGAATATTAAACGACGTTTTTTTGAAAAATTGGATAATTTTCTTTGGATAAATTGACATAGTCAAAGTCATAGCCATAGCCATAACCATAGCAGATATAGCCATAACCATAGCCATAACCATAGCCAAACTTGCAAATGCTCATTACAGCCCAAAATGCTAATTTTTGGATTTATGAAGCTATGAAATTTGTTAATGGTAATTCTTAGTGACAAGGTGCAAGAAGAGAAGGTAAAGTATTTGTATGATACATAAAACGTGTTAATTTAGCTTTCAGAGGTTCACAATAGCGATTAGCTGTAACGATGAGCAACGCGATGAGCGAGCAATCAAAGATCATAAAATCGCTAGTTGTGACCTTCTGAAAGCAAAATTTATAAATTGTGTATGTCATACACAAACTTTACCACCCATTCTTGTTTCTTACAAATAAAAATTATCATAGTATCTCATAGTTTCATAATTCAAAAAATTAACATTTTAGCTATAATGAGCAATTGCAAGTCTGGCCATACCCATAGCCATAGTCATAACTATAGCCATAACTATAGCCTTTGTCTTTGTTTTTGTCTTGTTTTTCGTCTTGTTTTTTTGTCTTGTTTTTTTGTATTGTTTTTGTCTTTGTCTATGGCTTTGGCTCTGGCTATGACTAGTCTTAAAATTCTTACTGAGCAGAAGACCGTCGGTTCAATCCTAAGATCCTTCGTATATGATCGTTAGGACATTAATTCATCTTATAGTTTACCATTACGAATTATGCTGCAAACCCAACCCTCTTACCCAAAATGTTAAAGTAAAGTTTAGTTAATTAGTTAAAGTTATGATAAAGCAAAAAAATAAAATTAAATTTAGTTAATATAAAGTTTAAGTTAAGATAATTATAAGTGAAGCTTAAGATAAAATTTATCTACAGCTAAGTTAAATATGTGTTAAAGCTATTTTATAGTTATGTTGAGTAAAGTTAAAGTAAAATGGAAGTTAAGTTAATGTTTAGATGAAGCTGACCTATAGTCAATAAAAGTTAATTAGTTAAAGTTAAGTTAAAGTTATATAAAAGTCATGTTAATGTTAAGTTAAAGTTAAGTTGAAGTTAAGTTCAAGTTATTTCCAGGCAATTTCAGGGAAACTTCATTTCTTGTCAGTTTTTGAAACTTGAAAGTTCTTGTTAAGATAAAATTAAACCAAAGTTAAATTA